GTCATCATGGGAAAGATAAAAGAAATCAGTTATTAAAAATGAGTTATTAAAACTATTATGTTTAGAAATGTCTTTAAAAAAAATCTTCTCTCCGTTAAACAGAAATTGGAGAAGAACATAAAAAGGGGGGCTAATAATTCTGACTTCAACTGTATGTATATATATATATATATATATATATATATATATATATATATATATATATATATATATATATATATATATATATATATGTGTATATATATTTATTTATATAGAAGAAAGTGTCAGAAGTGTCTTGAAAGATATCAAGTAAAATATTATTTACTGTCATCATGACAAAGATAAAATAAATTAGTTATTAGAAATAGGTTTCTAAAACTATTATGCTTAGAAATGTGCTGAAACAATCTTCCCTCTATTAAACAGAAATTGGGGAAAAAAATAAACAGGGGCGCTAATAATTCTGACTTTAACTGTATGTATATATATATATATATATATATATATATACACACACACACACACACACACACACACACACACACACATATATATATATATATATATAGGTCAAACTAACTACAGTTTGACAAATATTGCAGCTGTTGGACAACATGATGTACTTTTGAGGCTTTTTAGGTGAGAATGTGGTTGTTTAGATTGCAGCTTATGATGCAGTTTATTGAAAATCATAGTGCCTATTTTAAATATTTATAATTTCAGAGTTTCAGTGCATTGGTAGCCATTAGCCTGTCATTGAGCAGAAAAAAGAGGGTTGATGTTGCACCGCAAGATGGCGACAGAGACCACATAATACTAGGAAATCTCTGTAGACTGATGGCATCTCATGCTGTTCAGCCTTATCATCTTAAAATGTGAGCAAAATCACCTGTTTTGTCATATTACGTTAGAGAAACATTGAAATACTAGCCCTTAGGTAACATTTGTGAAGTAGCAACGGTTTCTGCTGTTCTGACCAGCTGCAGATGTAAATGAATGAATGGTGGAAGAAAGTGGTTGCTCATACAAAATGATTTTTGAGACTCCCTGTGTTTGATTTTTATTTATTTTTTTATTTATACACGATTATAAATGTTATATAAACCATATCACTCAGCAGTGCCGATATACAGCCATATTGCACTGCTACTCGTGTGATATTGCTCATAATTACACACACACCATCGACACAAAAGGAAGACTGACATCTGGAAAGTAGAATCTATAGATGTAGAGTATAATATGGCTGTATTATAAAAACAATCATAAAATGGGTCCTTTACTCTGGACACAAAGATATTATGATGTATTTTACACAAGGAAATGTATCACTCTGTAATCACTGGTTATTTCCTCCCTGGTAATATAAAAACGCTCATTAATTTGATTCGTCTCTGTATTTATCATTCCGAGCAGACATAAATGCAGCTTGTCCCACAAAAAAATAGAGTCAGCAGTAAATCCTGTGATTGTGTTCATCTTATCTGACCCTCATGTCAGTGCGTGTTGATTTTGCTCTAGCTTCACTGCACAGCCATCAAAAACAAAGCCCCCGGTGCCTTCTGACGCATCTAACATCAGTGACTTTGCTTTGTGTTCGCTGTCATCACAGAGTAAGCATCTCAGACACCTTGTGCGAATAATATAAACAAGCTTTTGTATGACTAATACAAACAAGACAAAGTCATCCAGTACATCAACCAAGAAATGTTTATCTTCTAGTTGTTCATTTATTTATTTATTTATTTTTCAATTTTATGCTTTGATTTAAGGGTTATAGAAACACATTATCCACCTTTTTACCTACCAGCATGAATTATGAGAGTAACTTAAGTTAAACTGTTAATCAGTGAAATGTTTTCAAAACTAGGTAACAAATAAATATTACACGGGCTGTCTGGAATCACAACATTACAAACTATGTTACTCCAAGAAAACAACTCTTAAAACTACTAACACAAGCTCATCGGGATAATTTAAATCATCTTGAACATCAGTCAATATGTTCATTTCCATAAATATATGCTTAAAGCATGCTTTTGACTGTTTGCCTCAATCTTGTGGGTGAATAATACGCAGGTTAGTGTGTGTTTTATTCAGCCATTTCCGTTTCTGTCAGCTTTGCATTTAATCTTGAACATCAGTCAATGCATTCACATCCATATTTATGTGCTTAAAGTACAGTAGGTTACTGTGTTTGACTGTTTGGTGCAATCTTGTGGCTGAATAATACGCAGGTTAGTGTACCCTCCGTTCAGCCATTGCCATTACTGTCAGGTTTACATTTAATTAAAGTATTTATAAACTATTACGTCTCAGAACAGTTTTAGCTCAGTTTCGTGTCAAATTTTCTTATATTTTGTGGCAAGTAGCCATTTAATAAACAGGATAAAGTACATCCAGTCTGTTGTTTTCTCTGAATAATTCCCTTCAGTCTTAAAAAACACTGCTCTGCTTCACATTGGGCTGGCGATAAACATTTCATGCTTCTTTCTGTGATAACAACCGCAACCGTCTGGATGTACTATTAACAAACAATTAAACAATTACTTACAAAGACTTATAATTATTAAAGACCAAAAATAACCCCAAAAAAATGAGTGTCTTTCCACAGAAAAGATCTTTGCCCACTGGTCTATATATATATATATATATATATATATATATATATATATATATATATATATATATATATATATATATATATATATATATATATATATATATATATATATATATATATATATAGACCCGGAAATGGACAATTCGGTATCGGTTCAGTAATAATCATAACTGGTTATTATGTAGTGACGTCATTTATCTCATATGCGCTATTTTGCCGTAGCTTACTGTAGTGAAAGAGGCAAGCGCGAGTATTTACAACACTCCAACCACTTAAAAATGCAGAAACTGTGCGCAATTTCACTGAATGTGTGTTTGCTGGACAGTCTTTCACTGACACTTGCAGCAGAAGCCCCTATTTCACTGTGATTGAGAGAATGAAAGTAAATTCCATTTCTCTCTCTCACCCTGTCCCGCTTGACCTGCTGGCGTGACCTTTCTTCTTCTCTAGGCTGTACAACGATACTTCTGGATATAGACACTAGCGTACGTTGCAGATTGAATTTTTTCCACCGTGTCTATCATGGATCAGCTGTGATCGCCGCTGCCATTTATCAGTGTCACTCATCTGTGAAGAGTGCAGCACGCAAGAGCCAATCGCAGCCCTTTCTGTTGAGCATGTGACCAATCAAAGAGACATGGATCAGAAAGTGAGCGGGATATTTATATTTGTTTATATTTTTTGCTATAAATGCTTGTGTTGTTTAAAGGTAAAGTTTATATATCTGACTGTTTGTACGAAAAGGACAAAATTGTAATACAAATTATATATAAATATAAATATATTTATACATTTTAATACAAGAATTGCTGACGTGAAGAAAACAAAGCTAACTAACAAAACTGTGTATGGTAAGTATCGTCAATGCGCCATGATGCACCGAGTTATCGAATTTAACCGAATTGATGGCATGATAATCATAATCGAACCGTGAGACCAGTGTAGGTGTAAATATAGATAGTACATGGCATAGAGCTCAGGTAAGTGCACTCAAACTGCTCGCAACCCTCCCTTTATATACTTGTGCACCTTCTGGCTGTCATTTCCTCTCATTTCAGATTACCAAGCCCTCAAGTTCTAGCCAATACAGACCTCGCTGGTGAAGGACAGACATTTTCCACAACAAGCTACAGCAAAACCTTTCCTGGATCTACACTAATTCTTTATAATACAACCCAATTTAATCCTTATCTCCTGTATTTGCCTAGCTTATGGCTCTGGGGGTTAAAGCAGAACTGTTGTATGTGCTAATAACCATGAAGCGAGAACTCTAATTAGAAACTATACCGCCAAATATAAATTTGGCACTCAATGCATCCTAACTTGCCAAAAGTGGTCCTGTCTGAAATGGCATTATTTTAACATTATTTTCATAATGGATTCAAAATAAAGAACAAAGCCACATGTACCTCTCACTCGATTTTCACTATTTGTATTTGTAGTGCAACCTTATTATTTAACCCTTGTGTTAACCCTTAGTTAAACCTTTCATTATGCTGCTGGCTGTTTTTGCCCCATTGACTTTGCATTATAAGCACATTTTTGATTGCAATGCCATGACACCATATTATTATGCATTTTTGGTGGTTTTCCCTGTTAGGAAGAGTTAAAATGTTAACTCTTTTGTTGGTCATCAGTTGGCACCAATAACCCTGTAGCAGATATGGGTGTAACACGTAACTGTACTCCAATGACATTTTTGAGGATCGTATTAATGTAAGGAATTACATTTTAAGTTTGTGTAATTTTATTACAGTTACTAAAGTCAGTGTAATTGTATTACATTACAAATAAAGCTTTTAGAAAAAAAATAAATGTTTATTTAAACCACAGGTTCTGCTGCAACATTAGGTAATAACCATGCTGGAGAATGCAAGCTGAAATGTCTGCTAATGAGAGTATTACTGTATTTTGATATGCATTTTAGTTTAATTTTAAAAATAACTTCAAAGTAATGTAACTTGTAATCTGATTACTTTTTATATGAAGTAACAATGTAATCAGATTACAATTCCCAGTACTAATTAGTAATTTGTAATCTATTACTTTTTTAAAGTAACTTACCTAACACTTTCCTTTAGCTAGTTTTTTTTTTTTTTTTGAAAAAACTCCCAAGCATTTTCCCAAAACATGTGTCAAAATAAGGTTTGTCACCTGTTGCATCATAGGAATTGTTGAAAGGCAGAAAGTTGTGATCAAATTAAAACTCACAATTACCCCAAAGTGGTTTTAAAGGTTTAAAGTGATTTGTTTCAGTTATTTTAAATGGAAGTCCCCACACAGGAAGTGCAACCCATAATTTGAAATATAGTCTTAAAATAGACTTCATATAGACTTAAAATCAGCATTTAACAGTTGCATAATGGAATGTAAAAAAAGAAAGTGAATTACATACAGCTGTTGGTGTCGTTGGAAACTGCGATGATTCCCATTGGCTGATGCGGGATGTCCGAGCGGAGTACTTTCGTATTAGCTCCGGTGAACTTATCAGAGCGGATCACAGCACGCCGCGTCCAGTCGGACCAGAAGATGAAGTCTCTGTAAATTGCCAAGCCAAAGAATGTTCCGGGTCCTGATTTCACAATGACCTACAAATTTAAAGAAGCACAGTTTAGGTGAGAGAAATACCCTCGGTTTTTACAGGAGCCCTATTAAACTTTTCAGGTTATACAGAGACTAAGAGTCAGAACTTCAAGACATGCTTGGCTGAGTTTATGTTTCTCATGACCTTTAAAAGTTTTTCACCTAAAGGCTTATGCTGACTTTCCCCCAGCCCTTTTTAACAAGTAAAAGTCCTTGAAAAAAAATAGGGGACAGACAGACAGACAAGACAGACGGACAGACAGACAGACAGACAGACAGACAGACAGACAGACAGACAGACCGACCGACCAAAAGACAGATAGGACAGATATAATGATAGATGACATGATTATGTTAGACCAAAGACAAATTAACAGACATACAGAGTGATAGATAGAATGATATAACAACAGAACAATAGACCGTGTGACAGACAGAATGATAGAACAGACAGACAGACAGACAGACAGACAGAACGATAGACAGACAGATACAGTAGCCTCCTCCATTATCCACACATTATCAATCATTAATGCAGATCTGCGGAGAATCCCTGCGGTAGCAGACTCAGAGAGAGAGAGAGAGAGAGAGAGAGAGAGAGAGAGAGAGAGAGAGGAATGAAAGGAGATAAACTCAAAGCACAAACGAACTGATTAAAGTCACTCAGAATCCCTATAGAAGAGTGGAGAGGAGGATGAACAAGGGTTCAAACTCTACACTCTACAAATGAGTGTAAATTGAGGCTTTGGTAAATAAATAAAACGGAGAGTGAGTCACTACTTGAAGGCCAATGGAAATGTTCACTGAAAACACATTTGATTGGTATCAGACAGACAAAATGCTGTCAATATTGTAGTGGAAATTATGTCATCACAAGTTTACATTTGGCAAAAAAAATGGTACTTTTTGTTTTCTAGAAAATGCCCCATTAACCAACCAACCAATTAATAAAACAAACAACGAACCAACCAACCAACCAGCCAATCAATCAATCAACCAACCAATCAATCAAACAAACCAACTGGCTGGCCGACCGACTGACCAACCAACCAGTCAGCCAACCACCCAGCCAACCAACCAGCCAACTAGCCAATCAATCGATCAACCAACCAAATCACCTCAACCATCCAAACAACCAACCAAACAGCCAACCAACCGACCAACCAACCGACCAACCAACCAACCAACCAACCAAACCAAACCAACCAGCCACCCAGTCAACCAACCGACCGACCAACCAACCAACCAACCAACCAAACCAAACCCAACCCAACCAAACCAAACCAAACCAAACCAAACCAAACCAAACCAAACCAACCAGCCACCCAGCCAGCCAGCCAACCAACCAACCAAACCAAACCAAACCAACCAGCCAACCACCCACCCAGCCAGCCAACCACCCAGCCAACCAACCAACCAACCAACCAACCAACCAACCAACCAACCAGCCAATCAATCAATCAACCAACCAAACCAAACCAAACCAACCATTCAAATAACTAAACAACCAACCAGCCAGCCAGCCAGCTAATCAACCAACGAACCAACCAACCAACCAAGAAACCAATCAACTTTTTGCCCATTATTTAAGGACATCATTGCCATAAATTATAATTACCATATTTTACACAGATAAGTTTGATGTAATTAATTATATAGTTAATAATGTAAAATTTTCAGGAAAAACATAATTAAATTAAACAGCTTATGATAGGACAACAAGCAAAAGCATGAACAAAACAATGAAACTATACATAAACAAATGAATACATACATATTAAATAAATAAATTATAGCCCAATAACGTATCAACCAAAGAAGAAAAAAAAAAGTGCACGTTTATTTTCTAACTTAAAGAGCTTTCCATGTTTTATTTATTTCTTTAGTTCTTGCTATTTCTTTACTGAGGCGGTGCAAGTCACACACGTCTGTTCTGAAGAGCGGCATTAACTGCTCTTCAGCAACACACGCATACACAGACGCAGATGTCTCTGAAGGGCCGTCCATTAGAATGCCAGCGTCTTTCTGTAATAGCAGGCATCTCAAGACTCGTGCTTTAATCCTGCACGACAGCATGTCAAACACATGTTCTTTCTATATTCCCAAGTGTTCCTCGTCTTGGAGTGTCGCTAAAGGTGGCAGATCAGGATGAAAGATGAGGCCTGTTGTTATACCGGCACTGGCGTCTCGACAGGTGAGACATGCCATCTTAAAATCGAGACTTTTTTAGCATTGAACTACGAACATAGCATTAGCATTTGGACAAGAACATGACATTTAGGATTATGATTAACCTTAAATTAAAATAAGGCAGCTGCAGAAAAAGGGGTTTATTTGATTTGAAGCCATTTCGAGCATGTGTTAAACCCTGCCCCTTTGTAATTAAGCTCTGCATTTATACTAAGAGAACATAGTATGGGAGATTAGTATAAAACAATTTGATTTTCAGTCAAATATTCTTCATAAGTTAGACTGTGTATTATTAAATATTAGTATGTTAACTATTTGACAGACTGGAATGAATAACGACATCGTAAAGCCTTTATCTATTGTAGTTTCATTCTGCAGTAACAATGATAAAAACTGAAAATTAATACTTTTAAAAAAGGAACATTTATCAAACTACTTGGTTAAATTATGATAAAAAAATTGGACTGGAATCTGAATAGAGACAAAGCTCATTTAACACAACTGTATGTTACTGTATGTTTAAAGGCCTCTTAACATTAGAGTAACATTTCTATAACACTGCAAAAATATGTTTAGTAAAAACCAAAATGTATAAATAACAAATGCCTCTCAAAATCTAGTCAATACCAACATTTGGGCAGCAATAACGATAGTATAACCTTTCTGCAACACATTCTCTACTCTCTTCAGAGAAATTACACTGCAACACAATTAAAAACATTGTAAACTGTATTGCCAATAGAAAATCCTTATCTGAGATAATGGTCGTGTTAGTGTAATGTTTGTACAACACATGTACTACTTTCATTAAAAAATAGTTTAGTTATACAAAAACATGATTAAAAATTGTAAAATAGTGATAACGGAAGTGCAACATTTCCACAACACATTTCAGTGCTTTCTTAAAAAAGCAATGCAGCAAAATGGTTAAAACTGTATAAACCACACATCTGAATTGAGAAATATTGATCTGACAATCATATTCATTCATTCATTTTATTTTCGGCTTAGTCCCTTTATTAATCTGGGGTCGCCACAGTGGAATTAACCACCAACTTAACCAGCAACCTTCTTGCTGAGGCGAACATGCTACCCACTACACCACCTCAACACCCTTGACAATTATATTGAGATAGAAAAGTCCAATTTAACATGGAGCTAATCTCAATGTAACGTTTGCACAACACATTTACAACTTACTTCAGAGAAACAATGCAGAAAAATAATTAAAAACTGCATAAACCACACATCTGAACTAAAACAAATGGATCTCACAATTATCTGCGATCAGAAAAGTCCAATTTAAAATAGAGATAATGTTATGACAACATTTGCACAACAAATTTCACAACTTTCTTAAGCGGAACAATGAAGCAGAATGATTAAAAACTGCATAAACCACACATCTGAATTGAGAAATATGGATCTGACAATTATCTTCAAATAAAAAAGTCGATTTTAAAATAGGAATAACGTTAATGCAACGTTTTCACAACACATTCACCACTTTCTTTAGCTAAATTACACAGATAGTACACATCTGAATTGAGACTGAAGTGCTTTTTATCATTAATTTAAAAACTATAGATTTTTTAAAACTCATTGGAACGTATTACAGTGCAAGTGCTAACATTATTGTAACTTTTCTACAACACATACAAAGCTACCATGAATTATAAGAAAATTACTGAAGAAATAAGAAAGATATAAGAAAGATAATGCACACAACAGGCAAGTTTAGCAAACACTTTGAAGTGACATCTCCACAATTCCTTCAACTCAAAAATTGCACGCTGTACCTTTAAGAAAGCAAACCGGGTCTTATCTGATGCCTTGTTATCATTAAGAAAGTTTTATAAGAGGAAATCCAATTTGCATGATTAATTATGAACTCCCAGAGGTTCACACAGACTATATACAATCAAAGACCTGTGTGTGTGTTTCCTCTGCAGGAAATTTTGAAAAGGCTACAGTATGAATGTGTCAGCACTAACCTAGGTGACATTGTCTTATTCTTGCTTTCTGTGTGACACACAAGAAAACAAATGTTCCTTTTGTTCGCCCTGATCAATTTTCACCTTTTAATAGCCTGGCGCTCAGTTAGCTTCATTGGCCGGCTGGGAGCTCTGTTGGTGGCTGTCAGCCGATAAACTGTCAAACCTGCAGTTCCTGGCCCTCATTTAAACCAAAACATCAAGGCTGGTTTAACTTTGAGGTAATAATAACTAATGTTTAGGCCCCGCCAACACCTTTCAGCTACATATCATACACAACAGCAGCATGAGTTTTGAATATGCGTATGATCAGATGAAAATATGCATGACCAATAGTTAAACACAGTTAAAAGCAAAAGTTTTCAATATGAAGTAGTGTATCAGCTTCATTATTCTAGGGTTAAGCCTAATGAATTATATTCCTCCATCTCCTCTGACAAATGTGAATCTGGGGAAGGCTCCTTAGGCCATTTTTTCTGGCTAGCTAAAAACTTTTTGAGTTTTGGAGCTAAATTTTACCTGCTTATTCCTGTGCCATCGCCCCTGATCCAGCAATCACTGTTTTTGGTAGATCTTACTCATTGCGTGGGTTCAATCATCAAATTAAAAAAAAGCTGTCCAAAATAGAATAGTGATGGCTAAAAAAAACAAAAAAAAAACTCTTTATCTATGGAAAAAGGCATCAAAACCACTTGCTAAATTCTGGCTTTCAGAACTTTCTAGCACTTTACATTTAGAAAGACACAATCTTTCTGATAATATTGCTGGTTTCGAAGCCAACTGGAAACCCTTTTTAAAATATCTGTCAAACACCAAGGATAACAGTTTAAAGGTATAACCCTGTCATTGTCTGCAAGATCACCATATTGCCTGTGCCCACTGACCTAGATATATATGTGTAACATTGTTGACCCGTGTATAATACTGGGGGAAGTGATGTAATAATGTTTTTTTTTTCTGTCTTTTGTCTTTTTTGTTTGCATTTCTTTTCTGTCTTTATAATTGTCGTTGCTCTTCGTATTGCTCTGTGTTGCTTTAAGGTCAAAGTAAAAATATAATATTAAAAAAGTTAAATTATACATCCCCCCGGCCCCCCATTTTTGAAATTGGAATTATTTCACAGTTTTTATTTATTAAATTCCAGAATAACTGAGATATAATAAATGTTAAACATAACAGTTTTGATAACTAATTTATTTTATCTTGATTTATATTATATAACAGTGGTTCTCAAACTTTTTTCATCAAGTACCACCTCAGAAAAGAATTGTCTCTCCAAGTATCACCAAAATGAGCAGTATTGAAATACAATAGCGTAGTAGGCCCAGTAAAGCAGCTACAACTCTGCACAGTTAAAAAAAGTGGCAGATTGCCTCAGAAATATAGGCTATATGTCATAAATGGCATATTATATACATTATTTTTGATAAATTTTGAAATGTGCGTAGCATGTACATGACATATTTCATTCCTCCTTTCAGTTTGAGAACCACTGTTATATAATAATAAATCTAAATAGGGTGGCACAATGGGTAGCCCCCACAATGGGTACCCACCACTGTGGGTAGCGCTGTTGCCTCACAGCAAGAATATCACTGGTTCGAGCCGTTTGGCATTTCGCTGTGGAGATCACATCTTTTCTCATTGTTTGCGTAAGTTTCCTCCGGGTGCTCCGGTTTCCACCACAAGTCCAAAGACATGCGATGTAAGTGAATTGGGTAAGCTAAAATTTTCAGTAGTGTATGTGTGTATGTCCTAATCCTCCAAGTTGGGAGTTGAGCGTTGGGCTAACGACCCACCTTGGAAAAATTAGATGTTACAAAACACAAACATGGTGTGGCTAAAGATCAACTTCGATATAAACTGCCCTGTGAGCAAGTAAGCAATTAATACATCTTAAATGATATCATAAATAAATTCTATTTTACTAGTTATTTTTAAGATACTAATATTTAACCTAAAGTGCGATGAAATTAACTAGGTAAACTAGGCAAGTTTGGTGGATTCCTTAATTTGTGTTAATTGGACAACAGTGGTTTGTTTAGCCTATCAAAAAATACAAAATACATAACTCTTAATTGGGATATTAATATTGACATTAAAAGTTTTATTTTAAAAAGATGAAAATGGCTTTTAATCAAGCCAAACTAAATAAAAATAAATAAATAATTAAAAAAACACTTAATCCAGAAGAAAAAATGTAGATAATGCTGTAAAAATTACCTTAACAAATAGGAAATATAAAAAAAGACTAAAAATGTCACAATCAGGCCACTAATTTACTATTTTTATTTTCTTTCAACTGTATATAATGTCAAGACAACAATATTTTACTTTATTAGCTTTACATTAGTCATCAGATAACATAATAATACTTCTTGATAACTTGATATTGATCAAAATCTTTAGTTGTGGCAGCACTACACTGTAAAAAATAATATGACATCAAATGTTTTTATGCTACTTTAACTTATATTAAAAAGTTAATCAGGTTTCAACTCATATTTTAGCTCAACAAACAAGATTTAACATTATATTTTTAGTCAGTTTGACTAATGAAAGTTGAGATGACTGGAAAATGTCATTTAATTTACTAAACAATTTGAGGCAGTGAGATTTTTTTTTTACGGCAAAATAATTGTGTTTTTTGTGCAGGTTAACACAACAATCTACTTAATCACTGCTGCATTCTGAAGGTGAATTAAAACCTCAAACTACTCCACGGACACCGTTTACAAGGGCTGAAATCAATACCTACAATGTCGCCTGATTGTTTAACGACTGCGACCTTTCAGGCGAGACATATTTTTGGATTCAAGTGACGATGAACCCAAGCGACCCGCAGTCAGCGAACAGAACCAAATGTTCTTTGTGTCCACCTTCATCATCTCACCACAGCAAAACAACAACAACAAAAAGGCTTCGCAAAGACTCTTAAGACACAGTTTGCGCTTCGGCTAATGCACAGCCATGCATTTTTCAACAGACCACCATATACTCACGTATCTTTGCGAGCCGTCAAAATCACACCTCTCGATGTGGCCCAGACTGCCATCAGAAAAGTACAGCTTTTCAGCTTTGTGGTCGATGGTGAGGCCATTAGGAGTGATGACGTCCGTGCTAACAATGATTCGGATGTTTCGGCCCGTTAAAGTGGACCTCATGATGCTTGGATGCTGCTCGTTCCAGTTTGTCCAAAACATCAAGCTATAGGAGGATCAGAAAATATAACTGTTAGTTGTTTTTTATAACTTTTTAAAATTTGGATTTCTTTTAAGGGTTGCTAAATTGGTGATACCAAAAGTTACCACTAGTAGTCACTACTATTATATCAGAATTAGATGTAAATATTGTATCATTTGTAAATATGTAAATATCTGTGTCATTTGTGTGAGGATAGTGAGGACAGTATTTATTTATTTATTTATTTATTTTTGCACCTATAATTTTTTTTCGATAATAAATTTGTATTAAATAAAAATGTATTAAAATAGCATTAAACCAAAAGCAATATGCTGTGATATAAATTGTTGTGTTGTTTCAACCCAAATTTGAGTAAAATATGGACAAAATGAATGTTTGCTAAAATATTTTTAAAATTACCCAAATGTTGTACTTGTCCATATTTTACCCAACCTTGATTTGACATTTTTAAATGTTATTTGAAGTGCAGTAATAATATATAACAAAATCAGGTATTTTAAGAGTGCATAATTCACTCTTTAAAAATGTTATTTCATCTTTTCAAATTCGTTACATTTTAAACAAGCAGTCTTTGAGTACCACATTCAAATTACACATTTTCCACAAAAACAAGAAGTTCTAAGAACAAAAAAAGTAGACCCTTGATGCTACGGTATGCTAATAGCCTCATTAAAAATGTATTCATCTGCAATTATAATTGAAATGGCGCCAGTCTAACAGCATCAGCTCTTTTTTTCTTTTAATGTGCCAGAAAAAGACTGGCCCTTCGAAGGACGAAGCATACCCTTGTGTTTGTGATGAGCATGTTAGTCTAGCGTGTGACGGCACCTTGCAGTGTTAGCCGCTAACGGCGGTGTGTGACTCCTAGCTGTGATCTTTGACAGATTTTGAATTGGTGGGACTTCTTGCTGACAGCAGCAGCCACTTATTGCCATGCTAATGCTTTAACAAGCTAATGCAGTGATTGCTAAACTCCAACTAAAGGCTGTCGGTGTATGAAACTGTAAAATAGCTTTTAGATAACAAGGAGATGTTTTTATGCTATGACTACAAGATAGCTAACACATCAAACTGCTAAGAAGTTACAGTCTATTTAATTCAAGTTACAGTTGAATTTACAGTCTAAGTGACAAAAAGTCAATTTAGCAAACATTTACTAAATACATTTACAAGGTAATGTTAGCATAGCTTTGTTTACATTCAACAATTTGACAAAAACAAAAAGTGACACATAAATAAGATTGTTCTATATCACTCAAATGACAGAAAAATATATGTTTATCCACTTTTAAAAAGGTAAAAATGTATATTTTGTCATAATTAGCAGTAAATTATTAGCAAGATGCTTATAATTGTATTAGCATGTGCTAACTTAATATATATAATTTCACTATTGTACAAATCATACTTGGTGTTCATCAAAAAAAATAAATTAATAAAATGTTGAGAATTAGCAAAAGCTAATGGTAACATTGTCATTTAATGTGTATGAAGCATGACACATGCTAATAGTCAAACGTTTGCAGGAAATATGAACATCCTAACTTTGATTTTGTGTATTTCAAGAGTTCACACTTAGCTGATGACTGATTATGAAGCGTGTTTGGCATGCTGTCCAGGGAGAGAGCCCTAAGCTCATAAGATCCGTCAGCCCGGGGCTTGCTCCCATTTGTAAAGCAATAGGAAAGTTTGAGCTCCAGTAGGTCTAGAGAACCCCCAACCCCACCCCGTGCCAATTTGGTTTGGTCAATTCACATATGTTGCATGTTTTTGGACTGTAGGAGGAAACCAGAAAACCCAATAGAAACCCATGCTGACATGGGGAGAGCATGTAAACTCCGCACAGAAACGTCTACTGACCAAGTTAGAATTTGAACCACTGGGCCATCGGGCTGCCCGGTCAAGGAAAGGAGGGAGGAGTAGGGGTGGAACTGGAGAGTCTTTGTGATGGATATAACTAAGGTAAGAAACTCTGATTATTTATAGTAAGTTAGGAATCATCTTATTGGTGAATCTTGCATTGCTAATGCAGGACCAGCTGTGATCAATCATAAGCATGTAATCCTCTCGAAATTAGTTTATAAATAAACTTCACAAAATAGCAATAGATGTCAATAACAAAAACTGATGACTGAGGTATAAACATAAACATTATCGTTTTCTTTTGAAAATGTTGACAGAAGCTAATGCTAACAGTATCATTTTGCATCTTTATACAATCAAACATTTTGGTATTGATGTGCAACTTAATAAAAAAAGCTAGTCAAATGCTAGCAGATGCATTTATTGACACTATCGCAAGTTGCTAACATTTATGTCACAACATGTTTGATTTAAAAAAAAGAAAGTATTATTGGGGTAATTTATGTCCAATCATACCTAGTTTTGAAGCACTTTGCTGGTTATCACTAGGCCCTGTAAGTGCAGAAATCTGCAGATTTGCAGCTCATCGAGTCTATTTATTTACTAAATTTCAGTTTTAAAATTATTTCAGAAATAATATTGACAGTCAAATATGAAAATGTTCATATGATTTATTTAAAATAAAGTTATATATAATGTATAATGTAATATAGTCTGTCTTTTAGTAGATATATTATAAAATAGACCTGCTTTTTTTACCAATTAAGTGTATCTAATTGGATTTGTATTGTAAACATTAAGTAATATTTTTATTTCATATATTAAGTTTTTAGTTATACTATTCCTTAAATTGTTCTGCATAAATACGGAGATTTTTTATTTTTTTTACAAAATTCTGTGCAGAAATAGCAAAAAATGTCAGCAGATTCTAGGCGTAATTATTGCTTGAATCAGATTATTATTTACCTATTTTTTTTTTTAAATGGTCAGTCATATTTCAGCAAGCCAAAGCATAAGCATAATAAATTACCTCATAGATGTGTAATAATAATATATATAACAGGAAATGTGCTGACTGACATCAAGATCAAGTCGTAAACGGGTTTGATGATGAATGCAGCTTTTGCCATACAGCTCTATCATGGATCACGCTGTTTTCAAATCTGAATTTTTATGACGCTCATAACTCACTGATGTAAAATTAATCCTCTGTATGTGGTCTGGCGCCTAATTACTCCAAAATAATTAGAGGATCCCTCCCTTAATTGACCTTTTGGAAAGACAGCCATCAAAACACATTCATCAACAAAGGCTATTTTGAGGAGAGGTGCACATAAAAACTCCTGACATTTCACAATGATAGATGTATTCCTGTTTAAAGATTAAGATTAAATACCAGAGTATCCAGAGTAAATACTTTTGTGCTTCTAAGAGAGATGAAATATCACTATAAAAAATACATAGTACATATAATATAAATTATTCATAATACATAATATACATAATATATATTCATTGTATACCAATGATGTGCAAAATATAATTTTTACAGAATGATATAATGTGTAGTTTGAAGTTGATGCTTAGGAAAATAAAAGGGGTCAGTAACTTTACTGTAAAAAAAAAAAAAAAAAAAAAAGTCCTATGGTGTGATTTTGCAAAAAATTAAGAAAAAAAAAAATAACAACAACAACTCTTAATACTATACAAATAGGTGGAAAGCGATGTATATTCATTGTTGGACAATTATGTCTATACAGTGCTATTTATTTGATATAAAATTATTATTATAAAAAAATATATATTTTATAGTGGTTCCAAAAAAGTTTAATATGTAAAAACAGGCTCAAACTTAACTTAACGGGGTCCTTCAGCTAATTATTTTATAGAATTAGTAAAATCATACCAACAACCCATATAAGGAAAGTGTCAAACAATAGTCTTACTTTTGGCATTCGTCGAGAGTAAGGACATGTGGATGGTCTTCCTCAGAAAGCGAGACCACTGTGTCTCTGTCGAAGGCATTCGTTCTGCTCTGATCAATGTGGTGACGGGTGATGGAGGCAGTGGTGGAGCTTGTCCAATACAGGACGTCCCAACCACGGTGATATGCCAGTCCCTCCACAGAACCAACATCTGGAGAAAAAGAAGATGCAACGTCAGTGCCAAACACATAAATAACTCAAGAAATAAAGAACAATGGCTTTAACCCTTTAAAGCATACAGTTGCAATAATACAACAAGAATTTTAGCTGTTTAAATAAATCTGCACACACGTATTTCCCTCTAAGGGGCCTATGCGCTACTCTCATTAATTAGTTTTCCTTTGGTTTAGTCCCTTATTCATCAGGGGTGGCCACAGCGGAATGAAATGACAACTATTCCCACATATGTTTTAAGCAGTGAATGCCCATCCAGACCCATCCCAGCATTGGGAAACACCCACATATTCGAACATTCACACACGCATTCATACACTATGGCCAATTTTGTTTGCCCAATTGACGTATACCACATGTTTTTGGACTTTGGGGGAAACTGGAGCACCTGGAGGAAACCCACGCATACATGAGGAGAACATGCAAACTCCACACAGAAATGCCAAATCCCACAGCCGGGACTCGAACCAGAGATCTTCTTGCTGGGAAACAACAGTGGTAACCACTGAGCTTCCTTTTGCCCTACTTTGCTATTGTTTTTCAACTTTCACAAGCAGTGCAGCTCATCACTGTCAGTTCCACAGTAGTGGACCAATCAGAAGAGCTCAGAGGCAAGGCAATTGCTGCAAGTTTCTGTTTACAGGAAGTCAGTGGCTCTGTCAGGATACCCTCATGCTTTTTTCCAAACCATTCCAAACCATTGCATGTTGCATTTTCACAAGCAAAGACGTGTTTGGTCTGGATTCAGACCTGATGGAGTACAATCTGAGCTGCATCCAATGCTTTTTAATGGGTTCGCCTAACCCCACCCCTAACCCTACCTCTCACCGTGACGTCACTAGCTCCATTTGAGTGCATTGTGTCTAACAGTGCATCGCTGAGTGATGCAATCTCAACGTGCATCTTAAAGGCTGCATACAGATACTATTGGTGAATCAGCCCGTGGACTGTATGTCCACCGAAGTGTTTTTTGTGCTGCAGAAATGCTAACAATGTTCTAAAAATCCTATACCTGACTGCTAATCCCGACTGTACCATTATAAATGGAAAGTCTTTAGCAGATTGTTTGTTAGCAGTTGCATATTATTGTTCTGCCCCTCCTCCACTGTGATCGGACAGCTAGCTTAAAAGTAAAACTGTACAAGGAATGATGTACAAAAGAAAGCCCCGCTTCCTACTCAATTACTGTTTTAACTTGAAGGTTTCCATAGCAACTGCGTATTAATACCCTCTCTAACTGTTACTTTGCTATGAGGGAATGATACATAAATGAAAGCCCCGCCTCCTACTCAATATTCGTTTCAGTTGGAAGTACATCAACAGACTTAAATAAAAGTCTCAGCATCTTAAGAATCACGCAGACTTTAACCTAAGCATTTTGATGAAAACTATCACTAACATTGTCATTTTGTGTTTGTGTGCAAACTTTTTTGAAACATGAAGTATGTTTATAGACATTAGACAAAACTATAAATATCCCACATCTGATTTTGAATATAATGTAATGAAAGATGCTACTGTTAGCCTAAAAAAACTGTATAATCTACATGTTTTCTTTTGTCAAATGTGTCAAAAGCATCATGGTATTAGGAAGCATTTTTATCCAGAAGCTAGACTAGCAGACATGGACATTGACTTGCACTTCAAAAATTTTGAGAAAAACAAATGCAGATAAACAGTGTAGTTTGCTAAACATGTAAGATTTCATAGTAGTTATATACTATATAACATCAAAACACATCAGGTATTATTTTATTATATTTTTGTCAAACTGTTCAGAAATAAATAGTTCTCAAAACATAAATAAATGAACAAACGAATGACTGAACGAACGACCAAACGAACAACCAAACAAACGCATGCATGAATAAACGAATGAACGACCAAACGAACAACCAAACAAACGCATGCATGAATAAACGAATGAACGACCAAACGAACAACTAAACGAACGCATGCATTAATAAACGAATGAACGACCAAACGAACAACCAAGTGAACGCATGCATGAATAAGCGAATGAATGACCAAACGAACAACTAAACGAACGCATGCATGAATAAACGAATGAACGACCAAACGAGCAACCAAACGAAGGCATGCATGAATAAATGAATGAACGAACAAGTGAACAAACGCACAAAAGAACAAATGAACGAACAACAAGAAAGAAAGAAATGTGGATAGTTCAGCAAGTCAAAGTAGAAAAATACCATACAATTGCATAAAAGTGCAACTTTCCTAATTTTTTTTTCCACTTTTTTAATTCTAAATCTAAAGAAGACGACTCAAATGTCAATGCCAGACACTCAAGTAAACAAGAAAAGGACTGTAAAATCAAAAACTGAAACATGTATTTTTAAACCTTCGATCAATCACATCCACTTTAAAAAGCCCTGAAGTGCACACAAAATGGTCTGAAGGCCAGAAGAGCAGACGGAGGGCTACAAACTCCACAGGTTCTTTCAGACGTGACTCAAACAGAAGAAGAAAAAAAAAACAGACAGATGGTCGATGGGAAAAACAGCCAGGTCTTAGAAAAGGTCAAGATGTGTTGCGAAAACCTACGTCAATACTAATCGACACCTTAAAATAAATAAATAAATAAAGATTTTTTTAGATGTGGAAAACACTGAGCATGCTGGATTAAATGTCAATTTTATTGTTCACTTTTAAAGCAGTTTTATTCATTTTAAGCAGGTTTAAATATATTCATTCATTCATTCATTTTCTTGTCAGCTTAGTCCCTTTATTAATCCGGGGTCCCCACAGCGGAATGAACCGCCAACTTATCCAGCATATTTTACGCAGCAAATGCCCTTCCAGCCGCAACCCATCTCTGGGAAACATCCACACACACATACACACTCATACACTGCGGACAATTTAGCCTATCCAATTCACCTGTACCGCTTGTCTTTGGACTGTGGGGGAAACCGTAGCACCCGGAGGAAACCCACGCGAACGCAGGGAGAACATGCAAACTCCACACAGAAGGTTTAAATATATTATAATTCTAAATGATTTATCATGTATTTATATTTTAAGGATAAAACAATCATTCTCATATTATTGCATTTTGTAAACAATATACTATTATAAACAATATTAATTTAATTTTTTTTAGACCAAAAGCTTTTTATTCAATGTCATTTTTTGTTTCAGTTATTAATATCCTATTTAACTACCTCCACATTAAAAAAAAAATACATTTACTATTATAGTCCACACTACGACTTTTATTTCAATATGTTGATATACAGTGTTGGGCTAACATATTACAAAAGGAATATAATTACAGTACTACATTTTTTTCAGTAACACATTGCTAATAATTTCTGTAATATTATTACTCATTACAATCTCAGTAGGTATAATGTACAGTAGGTATAATATTTGTCACTGACTGGAACTACCAATGCATTAAAGGTCCTGTGAAATTAAAATAATGTTTTTTAGATGTATTATCAGTATGTTAGACTCAGGCTTGATTTTTAAATTGAGAGGAATGTGCCGCACACGAAAGTGGAGAGTGGGGGAGGGGGTGTGGTGGATGGCGGAGGGGTGACGTGGATGAAAGTGAAGAGCACGGGGATTTTTCACAGACGAACGTGAGGAGGGTTTGGGAGTCGTGGAAGAAAATGAAAGTGAACAGTTGACTGCGCTGGAAGGTGGCTGAGAAGGGGAATCAGTAATATGAGGTTGATGTTGATGTTTTACAGCACAAATTAAGCCCTGGTTAGGCTTAAGCATATCTGTAATATAATGTGCTGCAAAACAGTGGCAAAATTTTCATTTAGAAAAAGTCAATTCTGCCTAAATAAATCAACTATTTTTTTAACGTCACTTCATAGTTCAGTTTCTCATCAAATCTTCTGACCAATAATATGCTTAATAGTATCTGACGTGTGATTTGATGCTCTTGAACTCAACCACAGGCAGAACTGTGATAAAATTATTTTGGCTGTTTTTTGTTTTTATTATTATTATTATTATTTATTTATTTATTTATTTATTTATTTATTTATTTATTTATTTATTTATTTATTTATTTTTTGTTAAGGGAAGGGCCTATTGTGCAAAATGCCCTGCCCTGTCATCATGTTTCAGATTACGCCTAACATTGAATACAAATTGCACATTTCAAAGCACTTCACAGTGCAATTTAGGTATCATTGCAATAAACATTTGCAGCTTTATTGCACACCTTCCAGCCAATCAGAATCAATCATTTTAACAGGAATTATTGTGGTTCCATTAATTATTTCACAGCCTACAAGACTCAAAAAATCACATCAAAACAAAACAAACAACTTTGAATGAGATGTGATAGAAACTTGTCCTATACACAGAAGCAGTTTGAGCACAAAAACAAAACAAAAAAACAAATAACAAATAAACAAACAAAACAGTTTCGCACTTTAGCAGTGATAAATGCTATTTCACGGTAATTCGTAACTTTTTGATCTAGTGGCTACTTCCATTGAATTCATACAATCTAATTCATAAAATGTATTACAATTTGCTAATACCCAATGATGTTTGGGTTTAGGGATGTGGTTTGGTGCCACATCATCTTTTAAAAAAAATCATACATTTTTGTACAACTGAACTTGTATGAATTAGCCATTACAATTACACTGACAAAACATAAAAAGTTATATTTCCTTGTGTGATAACCGTAGTATAAGCAGAATAGTCAACGCCATACCATGGCAATTCATTACTTTTTGATTTAGTGACTAACTCATTTGAATTTAGATGATCGCAGTTGTGCAATTTATTATGATTTCCTTATCCCCAATGACTGTTGGCTTTGGGGGTGTTGTTTGGTGCCTCGCCTCCTTTTAAAAATTGTACATTTTCATACAACTGAACTCGTATTCGTCTATAAATTCATACGAATTAACCACTGTACTGACAAAATGTATGATAGTTCAGTTTCCTCATGGGATCAAGAAGTGATACCTGTAGTAT